AGGAGGGGCACATAACACCCCCTCCCCCTCCCCTCCCCCTCCCCTCCCCCCTCCCCTCTCAGGTCAATTGACTTGGATCACAAACTATCCATTGCATGAAGAGGAAGTGGGTACTCACTCGCTTTTGAAATCAGGGTGCTGTCAAACCGCCGCACAAATGGGAACAAAAATAACCCGGCTATAATTGACAACTCGAGGTCTCGACTGGGGAGCATCTATTTTAGAGTGTAACATAGTAATCGAGCTGCTTAACAAGAGCTCATTCACACTTGGCTCTAGACGATGATTTCATTTTCATGACTTTGGAAGCTTTTCATTTTCACGACTTTGGAAGCTTTTCATTCATCTTCTTCTTTCATTGAGCTCTTTTCCTTTTTGAGATGTGCAATGGTCAAATTACATTTCCTACAGTGGTTTTATAACATTTTCTTATGTCCCCTCTCGTCATGTTTTTTAATTTGTTTCATCCAGAGCTCTTTTTCTAGTCTTCAAGAGCTATTTTATGTGATTTCCAAAGCTAAATCATTCACTCCTCGTATGTTTTGTATTTTACAACCTTGGAAGTTTGAAGCAATCAGTGGAATATCTGATAGCAAACTTTATGGAATTGGACTCTCACAACAAATTTCCATCAGCTATCTTAAATTTCTAAACATTAAATTAAAAAAATTGTTTGATTCTCTCAGTAAACTGCAATCATCACTGCTTGGATTTTTCCCCTTACAGTCGTAGAAGGATTTGATTTTGTGTTCATGCCTTTCTACAGGCTTTATTTTGTCCGGACAGAGGTTTAGGGTTCGTAGTAGGTCCATGGTTAGGGTTAGGGTTACAATAGGGCTTCAGGTTAGGTTTAGAACAAGGGTTGTAATTGGGTTTTAGGTTAGGATTTAGGGTAGGGTTGGGTTCACCATTTAGTTGACCATGTAGCAAATTATTGCAAAAGCATACTATACAACAGTACTTGTATTTTATGTGAACACACCCTAAAAGGAGACAATAATTAGCAGATGTCTTGAATCTGAGCCGTGACTTCCTCGAGAGACCTACATTGCCTTAATAAAACATAGCGTGTATGATCTAGCAGATTTACAAGGGAAATACAATGTGTTCTCATTCTCTTCTATCCTCTCGACTATAACCTTTTCAAGCTTGTGCCTTGATTGAAGAAACCTGATCTAAATAATGATACAAAATATCTTCACTTGTGGCATTGGTTGAAAAGTCACTAGGGAGGGAATGATAATTAAGGCTTTCTTTGACGAATCTTACACCACGATTCAATTTGACTGGGGTATGTTTTTCATCTATTATGCCAGTTGTTTCGAATTAAGCATCTTTTAATCGTTTCCGCACATTTTGCTTCTCCCTCTTCCCTTTTTTCATAATAGTTCTTCCTCTTATTTTTACCTTTGTCATCGTCTTCATTTTCTAATCTTTATTTTCAAATACTTAATTTGATCATCCTGCAGATCATCTTACTTCACCTTTGTTTTCTTGGACCTTCATCCCTTCCCTTTCATCTGATTCCTCCTCCTATCTTCTGTTTAAAATCATTTTCCATACTTGACATTTTGTCTAGAGACTCTAGATCTAGTCCAGAGCAAATACATACTGTACATCCAAAAATTATCATCAATTTTAAAACGGTAAAATACTGGTGCACCACTTTCACATTTGAATAGCTCTCCGAACACTGCTGATGTTTGTGACATCACGCACCGGACCAAATTAGCATAAATAAAGGAAACGATTCCCCATAACAAAGCACTCATTTCAAATGGCTCTTTCATCAGCTCCTCTTCACTTATCTCTCTTCCCGGTACTTCACCAGCATTGTTGTGACTTTCTGATCTGTTGCCTCACTATAAAGTTTGGACAAGGTTTTATTTTGATAAAACATGCAGCATTTTCATGAATAAAGTAATCATTTGTAGCAATGTACATGTAGCTTCACTATGGATTGTAAGAAATATACCACTGTACATTTAGCTGCATTCAGCTTCATAAACAAGCTCTACTTTCCTATCTTGTTTTGCAATTGCTTAAAAACAAAGACTAAAACGACTTTCCTCGCTTTTTGCAAAGAGAATTTTTGCTGAACTTCCAGATGTAGTCAATAGAGGAAGTAAAAGGTAAACTGAAGGCTACAGGAATCGGGCTACTGCCGGCCAAACTACGAGGCACTTTTGTACCTTTGAACATTGAGCTACAAGTACATTTCTAGTTTAAGCAACTGATTTCAGTAGAAAGAAGCTTTAACCAGCTATGTACAGTAGCATTAAGTTAAACTGAAATTTGATTTGATTTGATTTGTAAATAGCAGCAAAAAGCCCTACTACCTGGATTTACATTTGCTGAATATTGTCTCAGAAAACTCTGAGCTTTCTATGTCTCAAAAGATGTACATGTATATGTGCCAGATCTTTTACTTTCTATTCTTACATGTAATTTCCACTGATCTTCAATATCTAGGCTTCCCAATTCATGTCTGAGGATTTAATCCAAATCTAGAATCTAGACTATGATTATCACTTTAATTTGTCAATGTCCACAGAACATTGAGCAAACTTTACTCCTATGATTGTGGCATTTATCAGTTGGGCTGGGCCCATCCGGAATCTATGGGCTTTCATTTTCTTCTCTAAAACAAAGTACAAAAGAAGTTAAAAACCTCAATTTGCCTTTTACAATTCCAATGGCTTTGAATCCTTCTAGCTCATTCTGACTATTAATGGGGTAAATCATCAAATAGACACATTCTTGAAAGCAAAATGTCGAATACAGACTATGCTTTATAAATGTGTGCCTGCATGTACATGTTTGCCGTGTACCATAATTACATCAGGTTCCAAGTCTTACTTCCTGGTATTTTGTAGTTTCACACTTGTTGCGTAAACAAATCAAAACAACGATATCTGAGCCTGAAAAATCTATTCAGATGTATTCAAAAACCGCACAATTTGCACATGTCTAATTGTTTAATCAAACTGAAGTTATGGATCACAATTAAAAGGTCTATGAATAATAAAAACAGATGTTTTACACTATATAAAAGCTAATACTGGACCAGGATCACTCCACTTGTGGAAAACAACATGCAAAATGCATAGAATTGCAACCTAAAACATGTTTTGTCTTAATAAAAGTAAGTTCTTCAAACTTGTCTCCCACATGTAGGCTAATATACATGTAAGTAATATAATACTTTCAGTGATTTACGAATTAAAGATAAAGGTGAGTTCTGGTAATGCGATTGCATTGTGAAAGAAAAGGTGTGGAATGGATCAGAAAAAGTTGATGATGTAGCATGTAAGTATTGGTGTGCACTGCAAGGTTCTGGAGTCATCAAAATCATACAAAATTTGGCCCAGTCTTGGTAAAGTAACAAGCACTGTACAAAGATGTACAGTATATGGGACTACACAAATGGTGTCAGGGCTAGTACTACCTTGATTTCCTTGTCTTTCTATGCTCATTACTCAGCCAGTATACATTTTCTTCCAAAACTGTTTGGCACATGTCATTTATTTGTAATCTTGAACATTCAGTATAAGTTTCGTTTGATTCTGTGAGAATGAATTTTCCTTTTTTTTTACCAGAACTGGAGTTTATCTTTAACTACAAGCCAGTATGCTTACAGTTAACATGTATGTATGTATTGAAAGAAAGTGATGAAGCACCATTTGTAAACAGAACAATAATGTAGGGTCATCTTATTGCACTGTATTACATATTACGGGACTATTTCTATACAAAACGAGGGCAGCGAGCCAGAAACAACATGAATCTGAACACTGTTTAGCTCCAGTAATCTGTGAGTTGTGGTGCAGTCTCAATGAAAATCCCTGGGTTTATTGAATACTGGCTGGAGGGGGAGATTAAATTGAGAAAGGCATCAGACAAGATCCTATCAAATGGAAAGCAGCTATTTGTTCAGTTTTTAATAACACTTTGGATTAAATCCCCAGTGGAGTTTGTATAGGGTTTCCTTGAAAGGATGAGGTGATATCTTTTGTTGGGGATGGTGAGATTTTCCTTGTACTGAAATTACACACAATAGGTTTGGGGAGAGAAGGGCTGATTTTTAAGTATGCCCTCTGAATTTTGTAGTACGGACATTATACATATAGAACTATATTTTCAGTTTGTACATTTGTTTGAAGCACAAGATTATTTACATGTAACTTTTAGGAGAATTTGTACTCTTCATTCAAATAAAATCACAAGCTTCTTACAATTTGGCCCATTTCTGCATGAAAAATCCTTCTCTAGGTTATGGCAGATGATAATAATGATGATAAGGATGACAATGATTGCATGTATGAGAAGGATGGTGATATAAATGATGTTATTTTGTGAAGAAAATGAGAATTGTTAGTATTCTTCAAAACCATTTTGTAGAGGCTGATACTGTTTTTCAGTTTGAAAATGAGCTGGTCAGGTTTTAGCAAAATGCTGAATCTAAGAACAATTTCTGGGCCGGATAGATATTGCGCACCTGTCGCGTAGTCCCATATACATCTTTCTGTGTTTACAGTGCTTGTAACTTTACCAAGACTGGGCCAAATTTTGTATCATTTTGATGATTCCAGAACCTTGCAGTACACACCAATACTTATATGCTAGATGATCAACCTTTTCTGATCGATTCCACAACGTTTCTTTTACAACGCAATCGCATGACCAGAACTGGTCTGTACCTTTAAGTATGATGATGATAATAATGATGATGATGATGACAATGATGAGGGTGATGCTGATGCTGATGAGGATGATGCTAATGATGATGATGATGTTACTAATACTAGATCTAGTTTCACACCAAATAAACTTATGATCAATATCATTTTATGGAAATTTCAATCATTGACTTGAGTGACATTGTCTTTGTCAATCATAATTTTGTAATTACTCCATGACCGATGACCATGTTATTTGACTTTTTATCTCTGATATTCATACAAACCACATTAAGTTCAGTTTAAGATTTTAACACATACCTGACAGTACTTCTTGACTGCCTTCGCCGAATCTTCCTCGTCAAATTCATCGTCATCGCCCGCTTTCAGCCAACTTTTTCTAGCAGCAGCACTAGCGGACGACGGCGGGGGCGGATACGGACCTCCAACAGCGCCCAGACTGCTGGCCGAACCAGACAGCGAGTTCCGCTCGCTCGACGTCCCGCTGCTGCTACTGGCTTCGCTGAGAAGGCGACTCCGACGTTGTAAATGTTGCTCGCGTTTTTCGACAAATTCCCTCCTGTCATCGACTTCGATGTTTTTCTTCCCCTTCATCATGGTCGTAGAAACACTTCAGCATAAAAAGATAGTTGATCAGGACGATGTTTACAGTAGAAAATCAAGTCCTAACTCTTCACAACAAAGGTTACCAGTAACTCATCGCCTCCAAGATCATAGACTATTGTCGCGATAGCTCTGGTATTGTTTACTTTCGTTTTGAGTAGTTCCGCGTGTATAATGTCAGAAATCCTAAGGTACTATGGTATAATGTAGACACCGCAAGATGGTGCTATACAAGAATAAGATACCAAAAAAAGTCATTGACATGGCAATCGAACTTGTCCAAAAGGAATACTGTGTAGCTAGGTGATATTTTCACCCTTTCTTTTCTATACATTTATATTTAATTCTTAGCCTTTTCTTAGGTTTCCTAATTTTCTCCATATTGTATTCGTTCTTCACAAGAATATAATGAGAAGTTTGGGCTGCAAGGCTTTCTGCTTCTACGCAGGGGCGTCGCCAAAGGGGGGGGGGGGGTGTGGGGGTGCGACACCCCCCCCCACCTGTCAGGATATTGTCGGTAAAATTGCGCTGGCGTCGGGAAAAAAAGAGAAAAGGGGGAGGGAAACAGTGGCGGATCCAGGGGGGGGCCCGGGCCCCCCCCCCCCCCCCCCTTGAGAAAAAAATCTTGCAAAATCACGCGATTTTTACCTTTTTGGGGGGTTGGCCCCCCCCCCCCCCCCCCCCCTGGCGCTCAAGGGGGGGTGCAAATTTTAAAATTTTCGAGGACCAAAAAAAAAAATTGTGCTCATTACCCCCCACTGAGCGACTTTTCGGCCGGCGCGATTTTCAAATTTTCGGGAGCAAAAAAAAAAAAAAGTTGGGCCCCCTCCCCTAAGAAATCCTGGATCCGCGCCTGGAGGGAAAAAAAGAGAGGGAAAAAAATAAAGGGAAGGGAAAGAAAAGAAAAAAGAAAAGGAAAAGAAAAGAAAGAAAGAAAAGAAAGAAAGGAAAAGAAAAGAAAGAAAGGAAAAGAAAGGAAAGAAAAGAGAAGAAAGAAAGAGAAAAAAGAAAAAGAGGGGGAGAGGAAAGAAAGGAAAAGAAAGAAAAGGAAAAAAAGAAGAAAAAAGAGTGAAAGGGAAACAAAAGAAACGGGGGATGAAAGAGAGGAGAGAGAGAGGGGAGGTAAGAGTCTGAGAGAGGAGGAGTGGGAGTAAAAGAGAAAAGGGGGTTGTTGGGTGGAGTCGTCTCGTCGAGGGAGCAAGAAAGACACGGGTAAATATGTTGCTGTGTCGGGTCAGCTGTGTCGGTATTCTTGCTCGATCCTCATCAATGCATAAGTTTGAAGTCGGTGAGATGTATATTGTCGGTCGGCCGACAAGTTTTTTTCCCTACGAACTGCGACTTCTTATCCGCTGTGACGACTTCGAGAGTGACTACAACTACAATATTTGTATTTTCTCGAAGTTTAACTTTCCTATAATATCAGCTAAAGAAATCAGAGGTTTAAAATTTTCTGGGAAACTAAATTCAGACAAGGTTTAAGAGTCAACAACGGTACGACGAATCATTTTCCTTTCTTTATATTGTGATGAAACGCCAAAAATTCCGCGCTTCGCGCGGAAGGGGAAACTTCATTTAGACGAATCGAGAACGGTACAACGAATCGTCTTCTTTCTCTAATAATTTAAGGAAACGTCAAAGCTTCCGCGATTCGCACGAAAGTGGGAAACTGAATTCAGACAAATAGGGCTTAGTAAAAGTCGAAAACGTTACAACGAATCGTGTCCTTTCTCTAATAATTTGAGGAAACGTCAAAGCTTTCGCGCTTCGCGCGAGAGGGGAAAACTGAATTCAGATGAAAAGGGCTTAATAATAATAAGATTCGAAAACGGTATGAGGAATCGTCTTCCTTTCTCTATATTGTGATGAAACGACGGAAGGGGAAAACTTCATTTAGACGCGTCGAGAACAGTACGACGAATCGTCTTCTTTCTCTAATAATTTAAGGAAACATCAAAGCTTCCGCGCTTCGCGCGAAAGGGGGAAACTGAATTCAGACAAAATTAATAGGGCTCATTTAGAGTCGAAAACGGTACAACGAATCGTGTTCTTTCTCTAATAATTTGAGGAAACATCAAAGCTTTCGCGCTTCGCGCGAGAGGGGTAAACTGAAATCAGATGAATAGGGCTTAATAAGATTCGAAAACGGTACGAGGAATCGTCTTCCTTTCTCTATATTGTGATGAAACGCCAAAAATTCCGCGCTTTGCGCGGAAGGGGAAACTTCATTTAGACGAGTCGAGAACGGATGGACGAATCGTCTTCTTTCTCTAATAATTTAAGGAAACGTCAAAGCTTCCGCGCTTCGCGCGAGAGGGGGAAAATGAACTCAGACAAAATTAATAGGGCTTATTTAGAGTCGAAAACGGTACAACGAATCGTGTTCTTTCTCTAATAATTTAAGGAAACGTCAAAACTTCCGCGCTTCGCGCGAGAGGGGGAAACTGAATTCAGACAAAATTAATAGGGTTTATTCAAAGTCGAAAACGGTACAACGAATCGTGTTCTTTCTCTAATGATATGAGGAAACGTAAAAGCTTCCGCGCTTCGCGCGAGAGGGGGAAAATGAACTCAGACAAAATTAATAGGGCTTATTAAGAGTCGAAAACGATACGACGAATCGTCTTCTTTCTCTAATAATTTAATAAAACCAAAACGCGGGAGGGGGAAGCTTCATTCAGTTTAGGATTAAGAGTCGAGAACAGTACACCGAATTGTCTGCTTTTTCTCATAATGTAAGGAAAAGTCAAAGCTTCCGCGCTTCGCGCGAGAGGGGGAAACTGAATTCAGACAAAATTAATAGGGCTTATTTAAAGTCGAAAACGGTACAACGAATCGTGTTCTTTCTCTGATGATATGAGGAAACGTCAAAGCTTTCGCGCTTCGCGAGAGGGGGAAACTGAATTCAGATGAATAGGGCTTATCTAATAATTTAATGAAACGTCAAAACTTCCGCGCTTCGCGCGGGAGGGGGAAGCTTCATTCAGATTAGGATTAAGAGTCGAGAACAGTACACCGAATCGTCTGCTTTTTCTCATAATTTAATGAAACGTCAAAGCTTCCGCGCTTTGCGCGGGGGGAATACTGAATTCAGAAAAGGATAAACAGTCGAGAATGGTACAGCAAATCGTCTTCTTTTTTTTTATAATAATTTAATGAAACGTCAAAGCTTTCGCGCTTCGCGCGGGAGGGGGGGGGGGACCTTCATTCAGCCTAGGATTACCAGTCGAAAACGGTACAATTAATCGTCTTCTTTTCCTAATAATTTAAGGAAACGTCTAAGCTTCCGCGCTTCGCGCGGGAGGCTCATCACCCACACCCCCTTATGAGCGCGCTTTTAAGTGATTCTCTTGCTCACTACCGCCCCTCCCTAAAATAAGATCCTAGCTCCGCGCCTGCATTAAAATATATAGCTATGATGCTGACTAAATTTAAGAAATAATTCGTATATTAATGTCGTCGGGGAAAATGACCATTTTGCGCATATGCAAGTACTATAGATAGTCCATAGGAAAAACAATTTAGCCTTCGGCCCTAGGTTTTTAGGGTTGACTTTGAAGATATTGGAAATTTAATTTTGTCGGTAATTGGTGGCTACTTTTGTCGGTAATCGTTGGCCTCTACACCCCCCCCCCCCCCCACTAAAAAAGGTCTAGCGACGCCCCTGCTTCTACGAAGCTTTGTGTACCTTGCTATTAAAGGCCAATCAAAAAAAACTTACAAGTTTCTCGTCCCCTCCCGCCTCCTTTTTGGCTGCCACCTCCTTTCGGCTTTTGTTTACTATTTACTATTCAAATAAAAAGCAACAACAACATAACGAATAAAAAAAGGCTATGGTGTTCATTTGTATAGTATAGCTTCTATAGCTAATGCAAGCTGAACACATGTACATTTTTCATTGTTTCTGAATTTTGAAACTTGCTTAGCAAGTGGACTAAAATGATACAAAATTTACATATCATTAATTTTGTCATACACTGCATCAGTATATTCAAATAGCACAATATCTGTAAATAAATATACCTTGGCCAGCCATGTTAGCATTGTAGCCATCTTAGGAAAAATGAAGAAAAAAATAGAATAAAGCGCTGCCTCCTCCTTTTTTGAAAAAGTCCGGACGAGAAACTCGTTACTTTTTATTTTTATTTTTTTTAAAACGTTTTAGCCCTCCATAGGCTATTTTATTGAGTCAAACAACATTTTTACAATTCAATGAAATTAAGTCTTTCCTTAACTCGAACAAAACAGAATACTTTCACATTTCTCTCCTTGTTGTTCATACAAACAAATGTTGAAGTGCCTGCCATTTAGTAAAAAAATTGTTATGCATACCAGATAACCAGATAGAGAATGGATATATCTCTCGTCTTCATAATATTGAATAATTTTCTTCTTTAAAGAACTAAAATTTGGAATTTTGTTATTAAGCTTTTGAACAAATAGTTGAGGCTTAATCAAAGTCACCATGCAATTTAAAGCATCGTTTCTTTTGTCTTCAAAACCAAAAATTACATTTTCTAAATTAAACTATATCTGTAATCGAGAACCTTCATTTATCCATTTCACCGTTTCATTCCAGATTGATTTACTGATTTCACAATTGTAAAAGAAATGTACAATATCTTCCAACTCTTCTTTACAAAACGAACATTTATCGTTACTCACTATTTTCATCTTATACGGTTGCTTGTTCAAATACAGAATCCTATTTACTATCTTAAACTGAAAATATCTTAAACCAATATCTGGAGTAAAACGAAATATCATTCTATGATATTTCTGCATTCTTATACATTCAGGGGTATAATCTAAATGTCGTTCCCATTTCATACATATTGAGTTAACACAATTTGTTTTTCCAAGAAAAGTTTTGTAAATATATTGACAACCTTTTATGTCATGTACTAATATTTTGATATGTGACGGCATTAGAGGATCTACTACATTTTTTTCACATTTTTCAATATGCATTTAATATCGACACTTTATAGCTTGAGTTACAGAATAATAAAACAAATAATTTAGTTTCAAGCAGAATTTTTTTTCACATTGCTCACGAGTCAGAAGTTTTCCCTTATCATCAATCAAATCATTTATACATCTGATGCCTTTTCCATACCAAGATTTAAAAAATACAGATTTTTGTCCAATTTTTATTGAGCTATTTCTCCACAACGGATAA